TCCTTAAACAGTGAGTTATCCCCACTTAATCTGAAGAGTTTACAAATGTGAATTTTCAGCTTCCAGGTTTTTCGATGCAGTTCAGTAAGTGCATACTATGATCATAGTATATTACACTGTAAGTGATGAGTGGAGTATGGGCCAAGCTCAAACATTCATTTAATGTTCAAGATTGCCCTACAATTGGACACTACTGCTCTTCCCACTTTCTGGATGAGAAAACTGAGCTTAAGAGGTTTGCACATCTGCACATGGATTGTGCATTCTGGAATTAGGAATGAACTCCAGAGCCGCAGCTCCTGGTCCAGTGAGCACTGCTCTTCAGGAGTCCGTTTGCAAGCAGTGTCTGTGCAGGAGACACTGTGATGTGGAGAAATGATTCCCCAGGCAGGGGAGTGAGGAACAGCGGGACATCCACACCGGGACGTCCACACCGGGCACACCGGGCACACCGGGATGTCCACACCGGGCACACTCAGAGGCAACGAGGAACGAACACCAGTGCTGATGCCAAAGCCAGTGAGATGCCAGAGAAGCAGGCTGGGCAGGACAGGCAGTCTCCCAGGGTGGCATCCTGGAGGTGCCTGCATGTACCACAGCCTGAAGACAGAATTCATGGCAGCTGGTGTGGCAATGCAGCACGTTAAGATCTCATCTGTGACACCAGCAACTGACATGGCCCCGGCTCACGTCCTGGCTGCTCCATTTCCCATCCAGCTCATGATAATGGCCTGAGAAAACGGTAGAAGTTGGTCCAAGTGCTTGGGACCCTGCAACCACGTGGGAGACTGAGGTAGAGCACCAAGGTCCTGGCAATTGTGAAATAAATCAGCAAATGGGAGATCTCTCTCTCTCTGCACTTCAAATAAACAAATAACTCTCTTTTTAAAGGATGAGGTCATAGAACAGTAGACCAGCGGTCATCAGTGGGAGGGGAAATTCATATGGCTATATAAGGACAATTCCAGAGGCTCTGGTGGATATGGACACCGCAAACATCTGAGCTCTGTCAGTGTCAAGGCCCCGCGGTGCTGCTCACGGCGGGCAGACACAGCCGCCTCATGCACGAGAAGCAGGCTGGTTGTGATAGCGTCCCTGCCTGTGTGCTTACACATACTGGCAAGGTGAAATACTTGCCAGTGTTTAGAAGGTTTGTGAGCTGTTCCCGTGGAGGGAAACCAGGTCGGAGTGCCCAAGAACAATCTGTGCTGCTTCGTGCAAGTGCGAAATAAAAAGTTAATGCAAATCAAAAAGGAAGAGAGACCAGTGTTCCCCTGTTCCCTATGTCACAATACTAGGGACATTGGCAAGCCTGCCTGGTGGTGGCAAGGAGGGCTTCTGGGGTGGCAGCCATGGCTTTGGGCCCTTGAGGTGAGTTGACAGGTCATGGGGACAGAGAGAAGGTGGCCTTGTGTGGGCAAGCTTGCATGGGCATGTGGCTGACCGAGTCTCCTAGCCACCACTGAAGAACTGCAGCCCTTGGTTCTTCTGCAAGAATGCCAGCTAAAATCTGCTTCCAGTTCATTCTTAAGGATTGTGGGATTGTGGGTGACAGGCTCTGGGGCCTTTCATGGTCTTCTAACTGCTCGGAGTCTGCTGCTGCTGCTCCTCCAGCCGAGCCCCTGGTCAGAGGAGAACGTGTGCAAAATTTCTGCTGCCAAACATCCTTGGGAGTGCAAGATCCAGGCAATGGGAGTGGGCCCAACAGGGAAAGAGTGGGCACCTCCCTTGTTGGTACCACTCCAACTGGTAAGCATGAAAGCTAGGACTGGTGCAGGCATGGTTAGACAGTGAGTGGCACCCACTGGCAGGTGTGTTGGCTGGATAGTAAGGCTTCAGTGTCCATTGACGTGTACGAGTACTGAATGTGATGTGGGTCAGTCTGGACCAGTCTGCTGTATATATTGGCAAACATGGAACCAGGGCAGGGGGCAGGCCTGGTGGGGGTTATTGGAAGTTGCCTTAACTAGGCTGCAGCTTCCACTGGTTTATGTGGCCAAGTGTGTGGTGGGCAGGATTGGACTGGGCTCCAACCCCCACTAGTTTTTGTAGAAGACAGGACTGGGACAGGAGTGACCCAGCCATCACAAACACCAGTGTGTGCATAAGCTGATTGGGGCGACAGACAGTGCCAGACTCTGTATCAGCAAGCATGCACAAGAATCAGCTCTGGGATGGCCCCAGATGAGGTTTCACTGGGGATCCCCCAAATGAACCGCTGGACTCAGAACTTCAACCATGGAGAGAACTATAGGGTCCATGGTCTGACCGAGGAGTGCTTATGCCAGAACTGCAGGGCACAGTCACCTGCTGCTGTCACTGAAACGTGATCTAAGTGTCCTTGGACTTCACTTCATGTCCTTTCAATGTAGGGTCACATGTGAAAGTGACCAATTAACCAGCCTGTCTGGTCCGGGAGGCTCCAAGCGGGGATGGGTAGGGAAGAAGCTGGCCGTGGGGGTGTAGGGAGGTGTGGTCAGAATTTCCCTCCAGCTGCATCTGCTGGGAAATCCCCAAACTGAATGGTCCCCTCCCTTGAGACGAGTCCCATCGCAGGCCTCAAAAGTTGGTGTCTTGGACCATAGCAGGGAGGCGGCCAGCTGTAAATTGCAAAAGAGAGCTAGGGAGCCTGGGGACTGACAATGCTGGAGGAGCACAGGACTGGGGACAGGACTGGGACCTGGCACCCTGGCAGATTTGCTGGGCTCCCTGGTGACACAGCGCTCTATTAGGCTGGATGGCCACACAGAGATTGTCTCCTAGGCCTCACTGCCTGACAGCGCAGGTGTCCACATCCGCAGGGCCAAAGGCAAAATTACCATGGTTGTCTGTTGTGCTTGGAAGGAATAAATCTGGAGGCTGTGGGGACAAAGACATTTTGAGAAGAGGTTTGAGGGTAGAATGCTCAGAGGGAGGTCAGAGCTGGCCAGTTGCTGTATTACATAAGAATGTCACAGAAAGAGGCTGTCCCTCACCAGGGGAGGACAGTGTTGTGGTTTTAAATGTCATCCCCGCCCCCGCCCTGTCCTGGGCAATGTTGTGCAACCCAATGCCCTTATCTGTAACCACGAGGCAGTGACAGAGGCCATGGTTAACCGCTCCACACACATGGCCCCTTCGCCATGCTCCTGATGGGAGATGCTACCCTGGACAGTGCAGGGATGGCAGGAATCAGATTCAGCTGCCTGCCAGCTGGTGGGAAAAAACACAAAGGAGCAAGGTGCTATGGTCCCCACCCAGTGCCTGCTCCCTGGAGCCAGAATTCAGGAACCTGGGGGTGAAGAAGTTGAGTCAGCAGAGGGCATCATCTCTAGCATAACACTGAATGATCAACTTGCAAATCATTTTTTATTTAAAGATTTTTTACTTCTATTATCAATGTACATGTAAAGAGAGAAGGAGACACAAAGATCTTCCATCTGCTAGTTCCCTCTCCAAGTAGCTGGAGCTCAGTCAATCTGAAACCAGGAACCAAGGGCTTCTTTCCGTGGTCCCACATGATTCCAGGGTCCCAAGGCCTTGGGTCATCTTCTACTACTTTCCCAAGTCACAAGCAGGGAGCTGGATTGGAAGTGGACCCACAAGGCCAAAAGCCAGCAGGCATATGATATCTCCTAATTTGAGCAGGATAAGGATTTAGGCACTGAGCCACCCCAATGGGCTCCTTGCAAAATTTCCTGCTTTCATTCCCCTGCCTCTGGGCGCCTGGCTCTAGATGTATTAGGACAGCTTCTGGATTGATGACGTTGGCTCCTCGGGCCACTTGGGGTGGAGATGCACATTGGTGTTGACAAAAGCAAGAAATAAATATGACTACTACACTATGGCACGAGATATATAGACCAAACCTCAGCACCCTCCTGAGCTCCCACAACAGGGAGCTGATGTAAGCAGGAGGTCCCACAGCCTTCCTGGTCAAGGTCTTCAGGAATACCAGGCTCGTGACAATGCACTTGCCACAGGGTGGGAGTGAGATGAAGTAGAGAAACCACCTGGGGAAGACACTGGCAGTGGTGGTCACAGATACACAGAACATTGAGAGAGGAGCCTCCTCCAGACAGCAAGAGAACCCTGGCCATCAGCCTCCACTCCAGTGTGTCACTCCCAGGCCCACGAGGAGGAGCTTGCAGCAGTTGGGCACACTTTTGCTGATGTCCTGGAGATGGCTGTAGCCATGACAGGCTGAAGAACAAGGCTTCTGTTAGACTGAAAAGGCACATATATACACGTGTGATGGTCAATGCTCAGCCAAACACACAAGCCCAGGTCGATCCAAGACACCCTCTTGCCACATTTGCATCCCCAACACTCTTCCTCCTCCTTCTACATGCCCTGGCTCCATCGCCAGGCCCAAGGATGCAGCCACCTGCCCCGTGCCATCCAGTCTCCTGGGCATGTATGTGTCACTCCATGGGATGCCAGGAGCCAAGGTGTTTGAACCCGGGCCAGCCAAGGTAGGGCAGACCTGCTCTACCTCTTGTCCTGCCTTCCATGAATGGACGTAGCTTTTCATCCCAGTCACTTAATTGTCCTGGTACTCTCCAGCAGCTTCTCTCTCCTGGTTCATGTCAGCAACATTCCCCGTTGGCTGCTGCTTACAAAGAAAAATCTCAGCTGATACAACCATCTCCGTGGGATTGGCTCATGCTAGGCCAGCACAGTGGAGTTTCAATTGTAAGTATTCAGGGGGAAAATGGTGCTGAAAATGGTGCTGGATTTTTTTTTTTTTTTTTTGTATTTCAAGGTTTACTTATTTACTTGCAAAGTAAAATAAGAGAGAGAAAGAGAGAGAGAAAAAGAGGGAGAGAGAGAGAGAATGAGAGAGACAAAGAGACCACCTATCTGCAGATTCACTCCCCAAATGGCAGCAACACTCAGGGCTGGGTAGTCCAAAGCTAGGATTTTCTTGCTGTGTCTCTCGCATGGGTGCAGTGACCCAAGCACTTGGACCAACCTCCCCTGCTTTTCCAGGTGTATTAATAGGAAGCTGGATTGGAAGTGGAGCAGCCAGGATTCAAACTAGAGCCTGTATGAAATGTGTGTGATGCAGGCAGCAGCTTCACATGCTACACCACAGTGCCAACCCTGCTGCTGAATTCTTGAGTAATTCCATCACTCAGTGTCCTCACAAAGGCCACGAACTAAGTAGTACCCAAGAGTTGATGCAGAATATACATAGAAATGAGTGCATTGTTCAGATGGCCTTAGAGCTGTTGAATTGTCAGGAGGGAATGGAAGTGCCCACTGTCGAACCAGCTCCTGGGGGTGGGGCAGTGAGGTGGGCTGAGACAAGCCTTCCACAGGATCATGAGCAGCAAAGGAACTTGCAAGCCCTGGATGTATTTAAGAGGGACGTGGGGGAATGTTCTGAGATAATTTTGCACACCCTGGCTCCTCGAGGACTGTGCTTGATCCTGTCATGTGAGCCAATACTCCATGTGGAAATGCAGAGACTGAAGGCCAGCTGGGGCATGAGCAGGGTAGGGGCTTCCTGTACTTAATGCCTTCACATTGTATGACAACTGCCGTTCCTGGAAGACTCAGAGCTCTCTGTGTGTCTGATGGATACTTTCGTGGTGTGAATATGTCCTCTTTCACTGCCTCACTCTGCCCCTCAGCCCTGTTCCTGGACCATTTTGTCTGAGCCTCTTTGTCCCTCATGGAAAATGTGTCTGCTTGCTGCGCTCAGGTCAGTGCAATAGCTCTTGGTCCAGGCTCACTCAGCTGCTCCCACTGCAGGCTCCTGTAGATCACCATGAGCTGTGCCAAATACTCTTCCAGCTGCTGAGCCCACTGCCGCAGTCCTTGAGCCAACTCGGATTTGGCTCCTTGGTGCAAGTGCACTGAACCTTGGACAAGTCTGAACACATCTTTCAGAAGGAAGAGGCCAGCAGTGGCCATACCTGCAATTCGAGCTCCATTTGTCATGGCCAGAGCAGTGCCCCCAAAGGCTTGCTGCACCTTCCTAGTGCTACGGGCTGAGATCTTCCCTGCAGTCATGAGGCACTTGGCATTGTGCACCAGGTGGGTATTGGTCTCGGCAATTTTGATGGCACGGACGTTCTTTCCGATGACATCCACGACTTGAATGGACATCCGGGTTATGTTGAAGACATTGGGGATACCATGAACCACAGTTTCTGTGATCAGCTCTACTTGATTGATGCTGCTCCATGTGAGGCGGCTGGCTTCGGCTACTGTTGATGCCCTGGTTACATGCTCCACGATGGCAGTGGAGGCACCAGCCACTGCGGCTGCTGCTCCAAACCCCATCCCCATGGCCCTCAGTGCCATGCCGACCCCTGCGGTCACAGGGGCCAGAGCCAGGCCAACCATGTTCAGGATGTCAGAGACGGCCCCAATGGAGGCAGCCACCATGTTGGTGATGGTGCAGTCCCAGTGTACCTTGTCCACCCTGTCTGCCAGGGTGTGCAGCTTTGCTATGATCTCCTCCAGCTGCACTTTCACCTGCGGAAACTCCCTCAAAAACCTCTCCCTCGCCTGCCGCTCTGCTTGGTGGGCTTCATCCTCTGGGTCTGTGTACAGGTCTATGTAATAATTGGCCAGGGCTTCATCTAGCACGTGTGTCTCCTCGCTGTAACTGTAATTGTCACGTGATGAGGACAGGCAGCCTGCGGGTCCGTGAAATGGACTAGAATGGCTGGATCCACTTGGACTGCTAGTAAGGAAGGAAGAAGTTCACACAGGTGAGGAATTTTCCTTTCCAGAATACTATCCTATATCCCTCACAGATGCTCTAGAGAACTAATTTACTTCTGGGCACTGCGATCCTATATGGGCACCCCTTTCCACCCAGCTCCCTCTTTCTGGCCTGGGAAAGCAGTCGAGGATGGCCCCAAGCTTTGAGACCCTGAACCAGCATGGGAGACCCGGAAGGAACTCCTTGCATCAGCTCGGCTCCAATCACTGTGGACACTTGCAGAGTGAATTAACCAATACAAGGCCTTCCCCTCTGTCTCTCCACCTCTCTGTATATCTGACTCTGCAATAAAAAAATAATAATAATAAATACTTTTTCTTTAAAACAAAACTTATTCACTAAGGAATAGGTATAAGTCATCATTTAAAAAAATACATTGATTTATCTAATTGGAACAGTTATGGAGGTGGGAGAAGAGCTTTCCATCTGCTGTTTCACTCCACGAATGGCCACCATTGCTGGCTAGATCTGGGACAGGTCAAAGCCAGCAGCCAAGAGCCAGGAGCTTCTGCTGGGTCTCCAAGTGGGTGCAGGGACCCATCCTCTTCTGCCACCCAGGATCATTAGCAGAGAGCTGGATTGGATGTGGAACAGCTAGAACCTGAACTGGTGTCCATATGGGATGTCTGACTCACAGCAGTGGCTTAATCACCAAACCACAATGCTGACACTGAGTAAAAGTCCTTTTAAGATTCTATTGAAGGACTGGTAGTTTGGCCCAGCAGGTCAGGCACCTCCTGCCATGCCAGCATCACATCTAACTCTGGTTCAACCATCAACTGCTCCACTTTCATTACAGCTCACTGCTAGTGTGCCTGGTAGAGTGGAGGAGGGCGAACACCTTTGTCCTGCTCTAGGTGGGAGACCTGGATGGATCCCTGACTCCTGTTTCAGATCTTGTAACATATGAACAGTGACCTCACAGAGCCCTCTCCTATTTCTCTCTGTAATGCTGCCTTTCAAATAAATAAGCTGTTTGTGCTGTCCATATCTAACAAAGGTGCTTTCTCACTTAAGCTCTAGTCCCTGGCATCACTACTAAAATATAACCCCAACTCCCGGGAATGTATCTGGGCACAGTGCTCTAAGACATGCATAGAGGATGGGCTCCTGATGTCCTCCATGTTTCCCTGTCTCCCTGTCTCCCTCTCTCCACACACAGGATAGCCCAAGAAGAAATTGTCCTATGCAAACCAGGAAGAGAGCTGTCCCTAGGCAACATTCCAGTTGTCACCTTGAACTTAGACATCTGTCCTCCAGAAATAGACCCAGCAGGAAGTCCAGGCTGGCCGCAGAGCCCTGCCCAGTGTGCTTGCGAGCAGAGAGGAGCAGAGCAGTATCTAGTGTTCAGCAGCCCAGAGCATCTGGCAGGCATGGGCTTGGGTCCCAGGAAGGGGAAGCTCCTATAATGGCCTCAGCCCTTCCACCTGCGCCTTCCCTCCTGAGGCTCAGCCACGAGTGGGCTGTGGAATTACCATGTAAGTATGAGAGTGACATATCCAATGATTTCACTTATTTGCCTCTTCCTTCCTCTCTCAAAGAAATACATTTCTAAAATTTCCACAATATATGTCTGTGCTCACTTCAGCACCAGGCGTTCTGAAATTGGAACAATGTAGACATTAGTGATGCCCCTGTACAAGGGTGACATGCAAACTCATGAAGTGTTCCAAATTGTTTTTGCTACACCGCAGGGGTTGTGATATTTTTGTTTTTATTTGCATTCATTCAAAAATATTTTCTTACTAATTTCCTGACTGATTCGTAGGCCACACAATAGCATCATTTGCTTCAAGAAGGTTTCTGAGTTTCTTTTTCATTTCTTCCGAGACACATTGGTTATTTAGTAGTATGATATTTAACCTCATGTTGTTGCTAATTTCCGGATTTTTATATCCGTTGTTGATTTTTTGTGCAGTTTTTCATTTAACGGGGTGTATACTAACTGTGTAAAGAGACCATCCTATAAAGATGTGAAGATTCGATGCAGGGTGTACCTCCACTTCCAAATCAAAGACGGATTCGCAATGAAACTGTTAAATATATCTTAAGAATAGGATGTCGGAATGTCTGCCATTGTGCATACCTACAATGTCGGGATTCACTGTAACAGCAGCATGATGGACTTACAACTGTTTATAAAGGACTATAGTATTGTAATTGATGGTGTCCGCGGGGATGGAGGTGGACGGAGTTGGCGTCAGACCTGATGCATCACTCAGACCACCAGCCAGACTCCCCGAAGGAAGCATGTCGATCTGACAGGTCTCCAGGGCAACGGAGCCTTGGCTGACCAATGACATACCCAGACCAGAGTGGCACCTGCTCCTGCTTATGCAACAGGAAGGGTATAAAATTCATCCTGCATTCTTCTTTGCACGTTTTTTCTGTCTGTGCCCTTGGCCCAGGCCATTTAATCCCCACAGCTGCCTGCTTTCTCTCTGCCTCTCTGTTACGCACAGAAAAGGCCTTTGAAAGGACTTCCTCCATGAAGGTCTCTCAACAGTCGGTCCAGGCCTTTTTCTTTTGCTGGAGGTCAGCAAACCTTACAGTAATGATATAGAGGAATTCAGTGTGTGTAGGTGGAAGATTTGTTGAGGGGGGACAGAAAATCCCAGAACCTATGAAACTGTATCATTAAAAAGCTTTTTAATCAAGTCAAATCAAATCAAATATATGTTTGTGTATTCTTTACCACAGTATAACACCACTTTATTGTGTTACCGTAAGCTTTTGTAATGAAAAAGAAATTTCATGGCCACCATTGTACCACAGTGAGTTGGCCACCACCAGAGACATCCGCATCCCATATGGGCACCTGTTCAAGTCTCAGCTACCCGCGTTGGAGGTCACCCCTGGATCTCTGCCTGCCCAGCCCATGGGAGAGGCCATAGGCACATGGCACACTGTGTTCTCCACCCCCTCAAGGGGACCCCTGACAGGAGCCTCGGCTAACCAAGACCCCAACATGGCCTGTTCATCACTGGGCATGCAGCCAGAGGGGGGGCTGCACTCCAGGTTCTCTTCTCTGTCTCTTGAACAAGCTGTGCCAGGACTTCCTGGGGAAACAACTCTAGCAAGTCAAATGCTACATTCATCCTGCTCTTCAGTAAGGTGAGGCACAGCCTTCTGCCTGCTTCAAAACACACGACCTATGGCATGATTGGAGAGTCCAGAGAGATAGACATACCTACTAGCCAGTCACAGTGTTGCTGCTGAGTGGGAGTACTGTTGGAACTGCCCTTCTGCCTGCCCCCTTTCTCTGCCCTAAATAAGTTTGTGAAGTCCTTCAAATAAACAGCCGTCCCTCACCAGTTTGTCTCAAGTGGTTCTGCTGCACCAGAGCACCGTCACCTCACCCCTCGGTGTTCTTGGGGCCTGCTGGACAGAAGACCCCCAAGGCACTCCTCTTCCAATCCAGCCCCCGGCTCAAGTGCCTGGGAAGGCAGCAGAAGATGGCTCAAGAAACTCAGAAGGAGCTCCTGGCTCCCATTCTCCCTTCCCTTCCCTTCCCCTAATGTGAGCTGGGATGACTAAGGTGTCCCTGCAGACCCCGTAGACTTCACTGGGCTGAGCTCAGCCCTGGGGGCCACCCCAAATCCTAGACATGAGCAGGAGGAGGAAGCGTTACTACCTGGGACCATGGTGCCATAGCCTGTCTGTTGGTCTTCCTCCTTGCTCTCCATCTGCACTGTCTCGCAGGAAGGTTTCATTTAGCTGCAATCCTGGAGATAAGAAAGCATCTGTGGGTGGTGGGGAGCCACAGGGCCAGGGGCCTGGTTTCAGCATGAGTCTTAGAGGGTCTGCTACCATATGGTGGGATACCTGGAAAAATCTCAGGCTTCAGGCTGGTCTAGACTAAGCACTGTCACCATCGGGGGTGTGAACCAGCAGATTGCTCTTCCTGCTCCCCCCTTGTTTCTTTATAATGCTACCTTTTAAATAAATAATTGAAAAATATATTTCTGGTTGTCCATATATAATAAAGGTACATCTCACTCAAGGGCCAGCCACTGGCAACACTATAGATGTATTTATAAAGTAGGTTCTCAGGGTGGATGGAGAGAAGCCATACTGGAGTGGGAAAGCTTCATCTGGAGTACAAGGCTTGAGGTGTAGAGGCAGCCCCACGGACAAGGAGCCAGCCTGGGCCCAGTACTGAATCAAGCACTGGACGGTGGGCTTCCTGCAGGAACCTCTGCTCACTGTGGTTTGCATGCCCACCGTGGGTAGGCCAGCCATACCTGGACAATTCCATCTTGGACAAAAATGCCCTCCAGGCGTTGGTATCAGCAGAGACTGCAGGTGCTCCATGTTCACTATGTCCTGGAAGTTCTCGATGATGTCAGCTATGCAGCTGTTGTCATCTGCTTGGAGAAAAAGCAAAGCTTCACTTGGGGCTGGTGCATTGGCTCAAATGTTAATCCTCCCCCTGCAAGCGCTGCATCCCATATGGGTGCCAGCTTCTATCCAGCTGCTCTCCTTTCTTTCTTTCTTTTTTTTTTGCATTTTATCTGTTTTTTTTTCTTGCATATGTTTTTTGGCTGTTATATTTTTATTTTGAATTTTTGAAGTTTGTGGTACAATTTTGTGTAGACTGGGATTCCCCTCAAATTCCCAGCCCCCCAGACAGATTTTCCCCATATTGTTACGATAATATAATCTTTCATAAGGAGTCATAATTCCATCAGTCTGTTATTTAAGTGTACCCCAACATTGCTGGTACAGACAATGTCAGACAGTCCAGCATCCCATTGTCTACACATTTCCAGCAGTTTACTTGGGAGTCCATCTTTTGTTTGATATTTGGAATAAATGAAACTGAAATCAAAAACATCAAATCACATGGGATGCAGCCAAAAAAAGAACAGTATGGATCGGGTTATTAAGGTTACACTTTCCATGCTGGTTTCCTTATATTAGAGAGAACATATGATATTTGTTCTTTTGTGATTGACTCATTTCACTGAGCATAATGGTCTCTAATTGGGATCACCTCATTGTAAATGATATAATTTCATTCTTCTTAATAGCTGAGTAATATCCATGGAGTAGATGTACCACAGTTTCTTTAACCACTCTTCTTTGGACACACATCTGGATTGTTTCCATTGCTATTGCTATTGTAGATTGTGATGCTGCAAATACAGATTACAGATCCCTTTCTCACATGCAGATTTCATTTCTATTGGGTATATTCCTAGGAGCAGGATAGCTGGGTCCAGCTGCTCTACTTTCACTCTAGCTCCCTGCAAACAGCCTGGGAAAACAGTGCAAGACGGCACAAAGACTTCTGATCCTGCACTTGCGTCAAAGACTGGAGGAAGCTCCTGGATCAGCTTCAGAGATCAGCTCAGCTCTGGCTGTTGTGGACATCTGGGGAATGAACCTGTGGATGGAAGATCTTTCTCTCTGCATCTTCTTCTCTCTGTTTCTACCTTTCTGATAAAAACACATATATATATTTTAAAGTTTTTCAGCAAATAAAGCTCCATTTGACTGAGCTGAACCTCATGGCTGCCAACATGGGTCCCAAGCCTGAGCAGGAGAAGCAAGCGTGAGTACCTTGGACCACAGATCCATCGCCTCCCTGTTCGTCTTCATCACTGCTCGCCATGGCATTGTCAGGTGGGAGGTTTTGCTTTAGCCCTGGGAAGGAGAAAGTAGCTGTGGGTGGCAGACATTTGTAGGGTGGGGACCTGGTCTCCGTGTGGATCTCAGGAGATGTTTGCCTGCTACCAGTGGCACAACTGGAACAGCTCCAGGTTCAGCCTGGCCCAGTGGAAGTGCATCACTGGATGGAAGAATCTGAACTGTGTTAACTCTGCTTTGTAAATAAATAAAAAACAAATCTTTAAAATTGCTAAAAAAAAATTAAAATAAATCTGAGGCCAGCACCAAAAATGATAGGTAACAAGGATGCTCCAGTGGGGAGTCTAGGCAGGTTCTGATCAAACCCGTGTCCTGAGCAGTGTCTCCCTGAGCTGGGCCACAGGTTAGCTCATGTGTGTGTGCTGGTAGAAGCACCTCCACCTGTGCCCAGGCCTCCCTCAGTCCATTTGCTGTGATAGCAGCCGCCCGAAGTCTGTCCTCTGCTTCTTCCTGCTAGGCCCTTCAACCCATCAGGGCCCAGAGTCCTGCCCAGCCCTGGCCTGGTCCCTTCCACGGTTCTGTTCCCTCCTGGGGACACATAGGCTGCCCTTCCCTGTTGGACTTTCATTTGATTCATACCCTTTACAGAAAGACCAAGAATGTTCTCCTTGCTAAAGCTGCCCATTTCTCCAGATTTTTCTAGAAGTGGGATGACTACAAGATTATACAGCACCAACATGTGAATAATCTGAAACCCAGAGCCACACACTAATGTGACACAAGGGGACAGGCTGGCCGGCTCAGAAGGAGTTGAGTCTGTCAGGCTTACCGAGTCTCAGCTGTCCTGAGTTTTCAAACACAGCATGAGAGGGTCTTCAGGTCTGCTGCTGAGGCTCAGGCCTCGGGAACTGAGAGAGCAAACAAATGTTAATGGTGTGCGGGCACCTGGCTTCAGAAGGTCAAAGGGCACTTGGCCAAGCCCTGCCCAATAGCTGGCCAAAAGTGTGGCCACACCAGTCATGGCACATGCAGGCATGGGCAATTGACGGTATATCTCCCGCCTATGGAATTGGCCCTTCCCAGGCAAAGCCCCAAGACTGTACAGTGTTGTCCCAATCACCTGAATGTGACATGAGCAGAAGGTGCAACTCTGATAAACAAAAAGGAACACTGATGACAAAGCATTGGTCCATGTTCAGAAATCCCACACATGAGAGCTGGCATTGCAGCTCGGCCATTTTAACCTGCCTCTGACACCCATATGGGTCCTGGTTTTAGTCCTGCTGACTCTCCTTCAGTCCTGCTCCCTGTGAATATGCTGGGAAGGCAGCAGAAGACAGCCCGTGTGATCTCCATGTGGGAGTCCCGAGGGAGGCTGCTGGTTTTAGCCTGGCACAGTTCCAGTCCCTGGTCATTTACGGAGGAAGCCAGCACATTTCATCTTGCTCCCTGTGCCTCCCATTCTCCTGTCACTCCTCTTTTTCAATAAACAAACAAATAAGTGTTTTTCATTCTCTTTTTGAGACAGAAATATGGTAAGAGGTAAAGATTGGGTCCCAGCAATCAGATAGGCCACCAACCCACATACTTCCAGGTCTATAAGTGGGGCCTCAAACAATTGAAAAGACAGAATGGATTGAGGATATAACAGCAAGAAGTGGGGATGGGCAAGGAGCTGCTATGGAGATGGCACAGGGCCAAGACAAGTGTGCTGGCATCAAGAGTCCGAGGACAGGGTGAGGGCAGGAAGGCAGCCCTGTACACAACTTATGGCCATAGAGGGTTCATGATACAAACAGGCCAGGGCCACAGGAACAAGGTTAGAAAATTGCCTATGAATTGAAAGGGCTTAGGGAACATGTCCTTGGGTGCTGGTGCTCAGTCCTCTTACTGGGAATCCTGGACAGGAGAGCTTGGGCCAGATGTGCAGGAAGAAGAATAACCAGCCAGTGTGACCAGATGACAACTACAGTGCAGCCTCAGGAGGAAGGAGCACTTGTGAACATAGAATATTCCAGAAAGCAAGGAGGCTTTCCACATGCTTGCAGCAGCAGGTCTCCCAGGGGTGCCTGCCTGTGACTCCTCCTCCCAATCATCCAGTCAGAGCCCCTCCTGGAGCAGGTCCCTACTAACCCCATCTCCCAGGTGCCCAAGGGCCTCCTCCCTCCTGTTCAAGCAGGGACAGGGCGCCCGGCTCCACAGCCAGGTCACAGGCCTCGCAGGAGCTGCTGCCGCCCCCACTCCTCTACTCTCTTCACCCTCCCTGACCTGTGTCCTCCTCAGTGTTGGGGCACAGGGCGTCACAGTCACCTCCTAGCTTAGGGACCAGTCAGTGCTCCCTGCCCTCTGGGAAGCCTTCTCTTTTCTGTCTCCTACACTTCCTGTCCTTGAAGTCCCAGCTCCATCTCCACAGGCACTTCTTTCAGGCCAGAAAACACAGGACTATGACTCTGAGATCACAGCAACCACCACCTCACTCAAGGGTCTCTGAACAATTAATGGCAAGACGGCACAATGGCATAGCATGCTAATCCTCCTTTAGTATTGCCAGCATGTGCAATGGGTGCTGCTCTGGGTTCCAGCTGCTAAGATTCCCATCCAGCTCCCTGCTTTTTTTTTTTAAGATTTATTTTTATTATTTTTTTATTGGAAAGGCGGATATACAGAGAGGAGAGACAGAGAGGAAGATCTTCCGTCCGATGATTCACTCCCCAAGTGAGCACAACGGTCAATGCTATGCCGATCCGAAGCCAAGAGCCTCTTCAGGGTCTCCCAGGCATGTGCAGGGTCCAAAAGTTTTGGGCCGTCCTCGACTGCTTTCCTGGGCCTCAGGCAGGGAGCTGGAAGGGAAGCAGGGCTGCCGATATAGAACCGGTGCCCATATGGGATCCCGGGCGTGCAAGGCGAGGACCTTTAACCACTTGTGCCACCGCGCCGGGCCCAGCTGCCTGCTTTTGACCCAAGTGCTTGAGAAGCTACACCCAAGTAGGAGACCTGGAAGGAACACCTGGCTCCTGGTTTCAGTCTAACCTCATCGGCACCATTGTAAACTAGTGGGGGATGAATCAGCAGATGGAAGATAGCTCTCTCTCCCCAACCCCATGCTAGCATTCTACCTTTCAAAGAGAACAAATAAATCTTAAACAAAACAAAAAAAGATGTGAACACACTGAAAAGCCAGATGACCCCTAGGCGGGTGCAGAGACACTCAAGTTGGCTGGGATGCAGGTGGGCAAGGTGACTGCAGAGTGCTGGGCGGGCAGACGGCACACACTTGGTGCTGCCATGCACAGGGGCTCCAGGGGTCCCGCAGACACAGCATCTGACACATTCCAGGCTCTCAGAGGAACGTCAGCAAGACCACCTGCTTCAGCACCTGCCCTTAGGCACCCACGAGCACCCACCGTGCCATGAAGGCAGGCAAGGCTGCGGGCTGCAGCTCACCTTCCACTGCTCACAGGCAGGGCTATGACGTGATGTCCACAGGAGGAGTCCAAAGGCCTCGTGCCATTTCCTGCTGTGGAAAATATGCTGCCAGCATGAAGGAGGAGCTGCGGCACGTAGGCCAACACCCTCCAAGGCTGAATACCAGGAGTCAGATCAGCTGAAAAGGGAGCTGAGATGAGGGCAGATAGGAGAAAGAGAAAGACAGACAGACACGCACACACATACACAGAGAGCTGGTACAGGAAAAAATTACTGGTTCCCTCTGCCAACAAATTAAAAGGTCCTTTCCTACCAGCAGACCACCACGCGCTCTGTACTTCTGAGATCTGCCAGCTGGGGGCCACATATCCCACACCCCACTCCACCTGCTAGTGTCACGGATGTGAACTTCACATGCATTCTACAAGCACCAGGTCCCCAGCAGTGCCATTCCGCCTCAATCCCACTGGCGGGGGGCAGCCAGTCAGCCAACCCAGACCTGAGCTCACAGGGTGTGGGTAACACCCCTGGGACCACAATGCCTTGGGCTAGCACAGCGGCATTCAGGAGGCTTGCCTTAGGGCCAACGAGTAGGACTTGGTCAGTCCCAGGCTCCTGGCTCTGTCTCTGCTCCTACAAACCCATGCCCAGCCTGGGACATCTTCTGAAGCCCCTGGGGCAGTTCCTCTCCACCTCCCTGCCCCTCCACTCTTCACAGACACCATGGGAACCTAGGGAGAGTCAGACAGGAACCTGGTGTCAATGCAGGCTGGCACCTGCTGAGCTGTGTGGACCTGCCACCTAACCTCTCTGAGCTCCCTCACCCCACCATGCATGGCAGTGATCCTTGTCTTGTAGAGACACGAGGGGTTGTAAAGGGAGAGGGTTCCCAGTGTCCCCGGCTTACCAGGGAGTCCTTGCTGGTCCAGCTGTCCTCAGTGTTGTGCACCGTGCATTTATGTAATGAGACCCAAACTTCCAGCCAGAAGTACCTTGCACACAAAATGGAAACCGAAACTCACCGTTACAGCAACACAGCAAACATGCAGTTGGCCAGTCCTACATCAGCTCCACCCCCAGACGCCACAGTCAGAGGAGGTACCCTATGGGCTCCCTCCTTCTCCCTGACCCCTTGGCCTTGATTGTTGTGGCTGTTGACTTGTTGCCAACCTCAGCACAGAGGTCAGCTCCCAGGGCCACCACCAGCACTACCTAGTGGAAGCCGGGAGGCTCAGCAGGCAAGGGCATAGCCTTATCTGCCCCTGGAGAAGCAAGCTCAGCTGGACCTGGACACAGTTCAGGCATAGCCAGGGGCTGCAGCTGGGCCCAGCACTCACAGTGAGGCTACCATCCCAACCCATGCACCCTCTAACTGTCTTTCCTCACATGGGAAAACCGGGCCTGAGCACCAGGCACCAACCTCAGGCAGCTTAGTACAGTCTACAGATGACAAGCCCACCCAGAGCCTTCATGCTCTAGGGATGCAGGAGAGACCGATGCGAGCTCCTGGAAAGGCAGAATCAGACAGAGCAGCAGACACACAAAGACAATCTCCCATCTGCTGATTCACTGCCCAAATGGCTACAACAGCGGGAGCTGGCCCAGGCTGGGGCCAGGAGCCTGGAACTCCATCCTGGTCTCCCCTGTGAGTGCAGGGCCCACACACTTGAGCCACTTCTGCTGAATCCCGAGGTGCATTATCTGGGAGCTGGATGGAAGTGGAGCAGCCAGGTCTTACACTGGGTCCCATCCATGTAAGAATCTATTGTCACAAGTGTTGGCTTAACTGCTGTGCCACAGTGGATGGAAGATCTCTCTCCATTTCCCTCCCTCTCTAACTGTGCCTTACAAATAAATACAACACATCAAGCAGAGTGTACTGACCATGTCCTGAGGCCACAGCTGGTCTCCAGTGGGAAGGCTGCCTGCTCAGTCTGAGCATGTCTGGGAGTTAGCCAAGACACGGGCAGTGTTGTACAGCTGACATCTGAGCTCTGTCAGTGTCAAGGCCCCGCAGTGCTGCTCATGGCGGGGCAGACACAGCAGCCTCATGCACAAGAAGCAGGCTGTGATAGCGTCCCTGCCTGTGTGCTTACACATACTGGCAAGGTGAAGTGCTTGCCAGCGTTTAGAAGGTTTGCATGCTGTTCCCATGGAGGGAAACCAGGTTGGAGTGCCCAAGAACCCTCTGTGTTGCTTCGTGCAAGTGCGAAATTATAAAAGCTTAATGTAAATTAAAAAGGAAGAGAGACCAGTGTTCCCCTGTTCCCTATGTCACAATACTGGGGACACCGGCAAGCCTGCCTGGTGGGTGAAGATGGCAATTCTGGGGTGGCAGTTGTTGATTTGTGTCCTTGAGGTGCGACCGCATGGGCAAGTAGCTGCCCAGGTGTCCTTGCCACCACTGAAGAACTGCAGCCCTTGGTTCTTCTGCAAGAATGCCAGCTGAAAGCTGCTTCCAGTTCATTCAGAGGGTGGGTGTCAGGATGGGCGGCCACACAGAGTGTCTCCTAGGTCTCACTGCCTGACAGGGGAGGTGTCTGTGCCCCCAGGGTCTGCATGGTTCTCTGCTCAGCTTAAAAGGAATAAATCTGGAGGTTGTGGGGACAGACATTTTGAGAAGAGTTTTATGAAAAGAGTGCTAGGAGAGGCCAATGTGGCACATCCCCTTGTCCCATGAGACTGTCACAAGAAAGCCGCTGTCCCTCACCAGGGGAGGACAATGTTGTGGCTGTGAGTGTAGTCCCCCACCCCAATGCCCCGTCCTGGGCAGTGTCGTACCACCCAATGCCCTTATCTGTAACCACGAGGCAGTGACAGAGGCCATGGTTAACCACACCGCACAGATGGCCCCTTCACCATGCTCCTGATGGGAGATGCTACCCTGGACAGTGCAGGGATGGCAGGAATCAGATTCAGCTGCCTGCCAGCTGGTGGGAAAAAACACAAGGGAGCAAGGTGCTATGGTCCCCACCCAGTGCCTGCTCCCTGGAGCCAGAATTCAGGAACCTGGGGTTAAGAAGTTGAGTCAGCAGAGGGCATCAGCTCTAGCATGACACACTGGCAAAAGAGTTTTTAATCAAGATTTATTTACATTTTTTTGTAAACGCAGATGTACAGAGAAAGGGAGACACAAAGATCTTCCATCTGCTAGTTCACTCCCCCAGTGGCCACAATAGCCAGAGCTGAGTCAATCTCAAGCCAATCCAGCAGCTTCTTCCAGCGGTCCCACATGACTGCAGCGTCCCAAGGCCTTGGGCTATCCTCTATTGCAGTCCCAGATCACAAGCAGGGAGCTGAATGCGATGTGGAGCAGCAGGGACGGGAACCGGCAGGCATGTGAGCTCCTAGTGTGAGCAGAGTAAGGATTTAGCCACTGAGCCACTGTGATGGGCCTTTGCAAAACTTCTGCTTTCATTCCCCATGTCTTTCAGCTCCTGATTTGGATATTTAAAGACACCTTCCAAATTGATGACTTCTAGCTTCTCAAGCCGCTTGGGGTGGAGACCCACGTTGCTTTGTCTTTCACAGAAATTAGCTTGGATGATTCTGAGATATTCATGTGGCTGCTGCACTGCATGGGATGAGGAATATAAATCAAACCTCGGAGGCCTCCTGAGCTCCCACTACAGGGAGCTGATGTAAGCAGGAGGTCCCACAGCCTTCCTGGTCAAGGTCCTCAGGAACACCAGGCTCGTGACAATGCACTTGCCACAGGGTGGGAGTGAGATGAAGTAGAGAAACCACCTGGGGAAGACACTGGCAGTGGTGGTCACAGATACACAGAACATTGAGAGAGGAGCCTCCTCCAGACAGCAAGAGAACCCTGGCCATCAGCCTCCACTCCAGTGTGTCACTCCCAGGCCCACGAGGAGGAGCTTGCAGCAGTTGGGCACACTTTTGCTGATGTCCTGGAGATGGCTGTAGCCATGACAGGCTGAAGAACAAGGCTTCTGTTAGACTGAAAAGGCACATATATACACGTGTGATGGTCAATGCTCAGCCAAACACACAAGCCCAGGTCGATCCAAGACACCCCCTTGCCACATTTGTGTCATTTGTGTTCCCAACACTCTTCCTCCTCCTTCTACATGCCCTGGCTCCATCGCCAGGCCCAAGGATGCAGCCACCTGCCCTGAGCCATCCAGTCTCCTGGGCATGTATGTGTCACTCCATGGGATGCCAGGAGCCAAGGTGTTTGAACCCGGGCCAGCCAAGGTAGGACAGACCTGCTCTACCTCTTGTCCTGCCTTCCATGAATAGACGTAGCTTTTCATCCCAGTCACTTAATTGTCCTGGTACTCTCCAGCAGCTTCTCTCTCCTGGTTCATGTCAGCAACATTCCCCGTTGGCTGCTGCTTACAAAGAAAAATCTCAGCTGATACAACCATCTCCGTGGGATTGGCTCATGCTAGGAGTTTCAATTGTAAGTATTCAGGGGGAAAATGGTGCTGGATTTTTTTTGTATTTCAAGGTTTATTTATTTACTTGCAAAGCAGAATGAGAGAGAGAAAGAGAGAGAGAGAGAGATCACCTATCTGCAGGTTCACTCCCCAAATGGCAGCAACACTCAGGGCTGGGTAGGCCAAAGCTAGGATTTTCTTGCTGTGTCTCTCGCATGGGTGCAGTGACCCAAGCACTTGGACCAACCTCCCCTGATTTTCCAGGTGTATTAGCAGGAAGCTGGATTGGAAGTGGAGCAGCCAAGATTCAAACTAGAGCCTGTGTGAGATGTGAGTGATGCAGGCAGCAGCTTCACATGCCACACCACAGTGCCAATCCTGTTGCTGCATTCTTGAGTAATTCCATCTCTCAATGCCCACACGAATGGCACAAACTGAGCAGTACCCAAGAGTTGATGCAGAATTGGAAAAAAAAAAAATGAGGACGATGTTTAGGCCTGATGGAGAACAGATGGCTTTGGAGCTGTTGAATTGTCAGGAAGGAATGGAAGTGCCCACTGTGGAACCAGCACCTGGGGGTGGGGCAGGGAGGTGGGCTGAGACAAGCCTTCCACAGGATCGTGAGCAGCAAAAGACCTTCCAGCCCCAGCACTTCAGAGGTTGTTGAGAATTTTCTGAGACAATTTTGCACACCCTGGCTCCCAGAGGACTGTGTTTGATCCTGTCATGAGCGCCAATACTGCAGCTGGAAATGCAGGAACTTTAGACATGCTGGGGCAAGAGCAGGATAACAGGCTTCCTGTCCTTTCTTCCTGAATGTCTCACGGTAGGGGCCAGCCTGGAATGACCGGGCAGGATTGGGGTCCACTGAAAGTCTGTTCACAACCAGGTCCTCCTGCTGATTTTTTTTTTTCCTTCCCTGCCTCGTTTCTTCCCCTCAGCCCTGATCCTGGACCATTTTGTCTTAGTTTCTTTGTCCAAATTGGAAAATGTGTCTGCTTGCTGGGCTCCTGTCATGCAGCTCCACTGACCTGGACATGTCCTGGGCTCACTCAGCCACCTCCTATTGCAGGTTCCTGTAAATCTCCATGAGCTGCGCCAACTTCTCTTCCAGCTCCTGAGCTTGCTTCCGCAGATCTTGAGCCGACTCAGAAGGGGCACCCTGCTGCAAGTGCTTCGACTCTTGGACAAGGTTGGCCACATCCAGCAGAAAGAAGAGGCCTGCGGTGGCTGCCCCTGTGAAGCGGGCTCCCTTGGTCATGGCCAGAGCAGTGCCCCCAAAGGCTTTCTGCACCTGCCTAGTGTTGCGAGCTGAGATCTTCCCTGTGGTCATGAATCGCTTGGCATTGCGCACCAGGCGGGTGTTGTTCTGGGCAACCTTGATGGCGTGCACATTCTTCCCAACATCTTCCAGGGCTTGAACGCACTTCCGGGTTACGTTCAAGATTTTGGGGACACTCTGACCCACAGTCTTTGCAACCAGCTCCACTTGGTTGACGCTGCTCGACGTGATGCGGCCCGCTTCAGCCTCTGCTGATGCCCTGGTTACGTGCTCCACAACGGCAGTGGAGGCACCAGTCACGCCAGCTGCTGCACCCAGTCCCATCCCCGTGGCTGTGAGTGCCAGGCTGACTCCTGCAGTGACAGGGGCCAGAGCCAGTCCAGCGATGCTTAGGATGCCAGACGCAGCCCCAGTGGAGGCAGCCACCACGTTGGTGATGGTGCAGTACCGGTGCACCTTGCCCACCTTGTCCGCCAGGGCGTGCAGCTTTGCTATGCTCTCCTCCAGCTGTGCTTTCACCTGAGGAAACTCCTTCAAAAACCTCTCCCTCGCTTGCTGCTCTTCTTTGTCCTCTGAGTCTGTTTCTGAATCTGAGTCCTTGTTCGGATCAGTGTTCGGGTACCTGTCCTGGTCTGAGAATGAGTCCGTGTCCGTGTCTGTGTAATAACTGAGCAGGGCTTCACGTAGCGCGTGCGCCGCCTCACTGTAACAACAAAGGTCACATGATGAGGACAGGCAGCCTGGATATCTGTGAGATGGGCTGGGGAGGCTGCACTTGGACTGCCAGTGCAAGGGAAGGAACTCACGCAGGTAAAGAATCTCCCTTTCTAGAGTCAGCATGTTGTGTCCCTCTTCGATGCTCTGTAGGACTTTTACACTAGAACCCAGCATGGTATTCTCTTGGCTAATGCCCTCACATTGCGTGTACTGTGATCCCATATGGGCACCTTTTAGTGTTCCAGCGGCACCTCTTCCCATCCAGATTCCTGCTTGTGACCTGGGAAAGCAGATGAGGACAACAAAAGCCTAGAGACCCTGCACCCATGTGGGAGACATGGAAGAGGATCCAGGTGCCTAGCTTTGGTCAGCTGAGCTCCAGCAACTGTGGCCATGTGGATAATGAATCAACCAATAGAAAGCCTTGCTCTCTGTCTCTCCACTTGTCTGTATATCTGACTCTGCAATAAAAACAAATAAATCTTTTTTTAAAAAAATAAACTTATTCACTAAAAAAAGGTGTAAGTCATCATTTAAAAAAATACATTGATTTATCTAATTGGAAGAGATATAGAGGTAGGAGAAAAGATTTGCATCTGCTGGTTCACTCCATGAATGGCCACCATCGCTGGCCAGGTCTGGGACAGGTCAAAGCCAGGAGCCAAGAGCCAGGAGCTTCTGCTGGGTCTCCAAGTGGGTGCAGGGACCCATGCACTTGGGTCATCCTCTGCTGTCTGCTGGACCCAGGCTCATTAGCAGAGAGCTGGATTGGATGTGGAACAGCCAGAACCTGAACTGGTGTCCATATGGGATGTCTGACTCACAGGCTGTGGCTTAATCACCAAACCACAATGCTGACACTGAGTAAATGTCCTTTTAAGACTCTATTGAAGGACTGGTAGTTTGGCCCAGCAGGTCAGGCACCTCCTGCCATGCCAGCATCACATCTAACTCTGGTTCAACCATCAACTGCTCCACTTTCATTAGAGCTCACTGCTAGTGTGCCTGGTAGAGTGGAGGAGGGCCAACACCTTTGTCCTGCTCTAGGTGGGAGACCTGGATGGATCCCTGACTCCTGTTTCAGATCTTGTAACATATGGACAGTGACCTCACAGAGCCCTCTCCTATTTCTCTCTGTAATGCTGCCTTTCAAATACATAAGTATATGTTTTCAAAGCTGTTTGTGCTGTCCATATGTAACAAAGGTGCTTTCTCACTTAAGGGTCAGCCCCTGACATCACTACCGACGGATCTGTTAAACGGGCACTCGGGGTGGACAGAGACAAGTGCAGTGGGAGCAGGAACCGTCATGGTGAGGTTGGTGTGCAGTGGAGAGGCAGCCCACCGCCAAGGGGCTGGCCCTGAGCACTCAGGCCACAGGAATGCCCAGCAGAACAGACTGTCTGCTCCCTGGGGTTTATGTGCCCATTCTGGGAGGGCCAGCCATGTGGGGAGATGTGAGCAACATGGCCAGTGTCCCCAGCAGTTACCTGGACAATTCTGCCTCACACACAAATATCTCCCAGGCTTCGTCTTCAACCAGCAGGTACAGCTGTTCCTCCCTGCTCAGTGCATTCTTCATATATTCGATGATGTCTACAAAGCGGCTCTCAGCATCTGCTCAGAAAGAAAGCAGAGAAGAGGGAGCTGAGGGAGGTGTGGAGGACTTTGAGCACGAGATGGCCATGTGCACCAGAATCTTCTGGAGCAGGTGTCCCATAGGGATTTGAATGGGGTTACCGGGGCTGGGGACCTAACAGAATGGCCAACACCAGGGACTGTGTTTGGAAACGAGTTCCAAGACATGGACAGAGTGCCAGCCCCTGATCTCTGTGTTTCTGTCCCCCTGTCTCCACACACAGAGGAAGCAGCCCAAGCAGAAGCATCCTCTGTCAACAATGAAGAGAGCCCTCTCCACACAGCAGCCCAGCTCTCACCCTGAACTTAAGACATCTGTCCTCCAGAAATAGACCCAGCAGGAAGTCCAGGCTGGCCGCAGAGCCCTCCCCAGTGTGCTTGCGAGCAGAGAGGAGCAGAGCAGTATCTAGTGCTCAGCAGCCCGGAGCATCTGGCAGCCATGGGCTTGGGTCCCAGGAAGGGGAAGCTTCTACAATGGCCTCACGCCCTTCCACCTGCGCCTTCCCTCCTGAGGCTCAGCCACGAGTGGGCTGTGGAATTACCATACAAGTATGAGAGTGACATTTCCAATGATTTCACTTATTTGCCTCTTCCTTCCTCTCTCAAAGAAATACATTTCTGAAATTTCCACAATATATGTCTGTGCTCGCTTCAGCACCACGTGTTCTGAAATTGGAACAATGTAGACATTAGTGATGCCCCTGTACAAGGGTGACATGCAAACTCATGAAGTGTTCCAAATTGTTTTTGCTACACCACAGGGGTTGTGATATTTTTGTTTTTATTTGCATTCATTCAAAAATATTTTCTTACTAATTTCCTGACTGACTCGTAGGCCACACAATAGCATCATTTGCTTCAAAAAGGTTTCTGAGTTTCTTTCTACTTCCTGTGCAACACATTGGTCATTCAGTAGCATGATATTAAACCTCATGTTGTTGCTAATTTCCGGATTTTTATATCCATTGTTGATTTTGTTGTGCAGTTTTTCATTTAACGGGGTGTATACTAACTGTGTAAAGAGACCATCCTATAAAGATGTGAAGATTCGATGCAGGGTGTACCTCTACTTCCAAATCAAAGACGGATTCACAATGAAACTGTTAAATATATCTTAAGAATAGGAAGTTAGACTGTCTCCCATTGTCCATACTTACAATGCCTAGATTAACTTATTAAAGTAATCTATTCTACTATTAAGCAGAATGATGGACTTATGAATGTTTATGAAGGACTATACTAGGCTAATGATACAGGGGAAATCAGTGTGTGTGGGGGGTGAGGAGTTTTTGGGGAGGAGGTATAGGAAATCCCAGAACCTATGGAACTGTATCATAAAAAAATTTTTAATTTAATCAAATGAGATAAAATATGTCTGTGAGTTCTACATTCCACCTTATCGTGTTACTGTAAGCTTTTGTAATGAAAAAGAAATTTCATGGCCACCATTGTACCACAGTGAGTTGGCCACCACCAGAGACATCCGCATCCCATATGGGCACCTGTTCAAGTCTCAGCTACTCTCGTTGGAGGTCACCCCTGGATCTCTGCCTGCCCAGCCCATGGGAGAGGCCATAGGCACATGGCACACGGTGTTCTCCACCCCCTCAAGGGGACCCCTGACAGGAGCCTCGGCTAACCAAGACCCCAACATGGCCTGTTCATCACTGGGCATGCAGCCAGAGGGGGGGCTGCACTCCAGGTTCTCTTCTCTGTCTCTTGAACAAGCTGTGCCAGGACTTCCTGGGGAAACAACTCTAGCAAGTCAAATGCTACATTCATCCTGCTCTTCAGTAAGGTGAGGCACAGCCTTCTGCCTGCTTCAAAACACACGACCTATGGCATGATTGGAGAGTCCAGAGAGATAGACATACCTACTAGCCAGTCACAGTGTTGCTGCTGAGTGGGAGTACTGTTGGAACTGCCCTTCTGCCTGCCCCCTTTCTCTGCCCTAAATAAGTTTGTAAAGTCCTTCAAATAAACAGCCATCCCTCACCAGTTTGTCTCAAGTGGTTCTGCTGCACCAGAGCACCGTCGCCTCACCCCTCGGTGTTCTTGGGGCCTGCTGGGCAGAAGACCCCCAAGGCACTCCTCTTCCAATCCAGCCCCCGGCTCAAGTGCCTGGGAAGGCAGCAGAAGATGGCTCAAGAAACCCAGAAGGAGCTCCTGGCTCCCATTCTCCCTTCCCTTCCCTTCCCCTAATGTGAGCTGGGATGACTAAGGTGTCCCTGCAGACCCAGTAGACTTCACTTGGCCGAGCTCAGCCCTGGGGGCCACCCCAAATCCTAGACATGAGCAGGAGGAGGAAGCGTTACTACCTGGGACCATGGTGCCATAGCCTGTCTGTTGGTCTTCCTCATGGCCACCAGCTGCACTGTGATCTTCCTCCTTGCTCTCCATCTGCACTGTCTCGCAGGAAGGGTTTGCTTCAACCCTGGAGATAAGAAAGCATCTGTGGGTGGTGGGGAGCCATGGGGACAGGGGCCTGGTTTCAGCATGAGTCTTAGAGGGGCTGCTACCACATGGTTTGCTAGAAAAATCCCAGGCTTCAGGCTGGCCTAGCCTAAGCACTGTCACCATCGGGGGTATGAACCAGCAGATTTCTCTTTCACACATTTTTCCCCTCTCTAATGCTGCCTTTTAAATAAATAACTTTAAAATCTTTTTGTGGTTGTCCATATCAAATACAGATGCATGTCATCAAAGGCCAGCCCTTGGTGATACTACAGAAGTATTTGTAAAGCAGGTATTTGAGGTGGACAAAGAAAAGCCAGGCTGGAGTGGGAAATTTTCATCTGTGACACTGGGCGTGTGGTGTCGAGGCAGCCCCATCGAAAGGGGTAAGCAAGGCCCAGGCCTGGCACCGGGCCCTGGATGTTGTTCCTCCTGAGGGGACTGTCTGCTTACTGGGGTTTGTGTACCCACCTTGGGCAGGCCAGCCATTACCTGGATGATTCAGCCACGGACAGAAATGCCTCCTGGGCGTCTGCATCCATCAATAGGGACTGCAGGTGCTCCATGCTCACTATGTCCTGGAAGTGTGCGATGATGTCAGCTATGTGCCTCTTGTCATCTGCTCCAAGATAAAACAGAGGAAAGTTCCTCTTGGGGTGACACATTGGCTCAATTGGCTAATCCTCCCCCTAGAAGAACCGCATCCTATATGGCTCCAGTCTCTATCCAGCTGCTCTACTTTCCATCCAGCCTTCTGTTAGCAGCCTAGAAAAGCAGTGGAGGATGACCCAAAGCCTTGGGATCCTGTACCCGCATGGAAGAAGCTCCTGGCTCCTGCCTTCAGATCGGCTCAGTTCCAACAGATTGGATCAATTCTGACTGTTGTAGCATTTAGGAATGAACCAGTGGATGGAAGATCTTTCTCTCTGCATCTCCTTCTCTCTGTTTCTACCTTTCCAATAAAAATACATTCTAAAAATTTTATTTCAATATAGAGTGCTCCACATGACTGAGCTAGGCTGGGGATACCAGCATGGGTCCCAAGCCTGAGAAGGAGGAGGAATGTGTACCTGGGACCATGACACCATTGCCTCCCTGCTCGTCTTCATCGCTGCTCGCCATCTGCACCGTCGGGTGGGAGGTTTGGTTTCAGCTCTGGGGAGGAAAAGCAGCTGTGGGTTGGGAAGTTGCGGGACAGGGTCTTGGTCTCCTCAGGGGATGTGGCACAGCTGGAGGAAGCTCCAGGCTTCAGCCTGGCCCAGCCCTAGCCATTGCAGGAGTGAATCAGTGGATGCAAGATTCTGCCTGTCTTCTCTCTCTGTAACTCTGCTTTGTAAATAAATAAAAACAAATCTTTAAAATTCATGCAAATAACAATAAAGCTGAGGCCAGCACCACAAAGTGAGGTGACAAGGATGCTTCAATGGGGACTCTAGGGCAGGTTCTGGTTAAACCCGTGTCCTGAGCAGTGTCTCCCTGAGCTGGGCTGTCAGGGTAGCTCACGTGTGCGTGCTTGTGGAAGCCCCTCCACCTGTGCCCAGGGCGCTCTCGGGCCATTGCCTGGGCTGCAGCCACCCAATTCTGTCCTCTGCTTCCTCCTGCCAGGTCCTTCGACCCATTGGGGTCCAGAGCCCTGACCAAAGCTAGTCTAGTCCCTCCCATGTGTGCTGCTTCCTCTTGGTGCACAGATGTCACCCCTTCCTGCCAAATCTGTTTGATTCTTACCCTTTATGTAAAGGTCAAGAATGTTGGGCTTCCTAAATGCTGCCCACACTGGGGGGTCGTTTTCTTGAGATTTTTCTGGAAGTGAGATGACTACAAGGTCACTTAGCACCAACATGCAAATATTTCTGACACCCAGAGCCATGCACTAATGTGACGCAAGGGGACATGCTGGCCGGGTCTGAATGAATTTGATCTGTCAGGCTTACCTGATCTCAGCTATCCTTTTGTTTCCAAACACAGAGTTAGAGTGAGAGGGTCTTCAGGTCTGCTTGTAGGGCTCAGGCCTCGGGAGCTGAGAGAGAAAGCTAATGTTAGTGGTGGGCGGGCATTGGCTTCAGAAGGTCAAACGGCACCTGGCCACAGCCCCACCAGAGACTGGTCGATAGTGTTGCCATGGCAGTCATAGCTCCTGCAGGCACGGGTAGTTGACCGTAGGCCCAAGCCTGTGGACTTGGCCCTGCCTGGGCCCAGCCCCGAGCCTGCAGTGTTCTCATGATTACCTCTGAGTGTGCCGTGTGCAGCAGGTGCAGCCCTGATACAGAGAAGGGCTCACTGAGGCAAGGCATTGGTCCATGTCCAGAAACTGCACACATGGGTGCTTGCACAACAGCCCACCCAGTTTTGTTTTGTTTTGTTTTTTAGAGAGATAGAGAGGAAGATCTTCTGTCTGAGGATTCACTCCCCAGGTGGCCGCAACAGTCGGAGCTGAGCCGATCTGAAGCCAGGAGCCTCCTTCAGGTCTTTCACGCAGGTGCAGGGTCCCAAGGCTTGGGCCATGCTCAACTGCTTTCCCAGGCCACAAGCAGGAGGCTAGATTGGAAGTAGGGCTGTCAGGATTAGAACTGGCTCCTCTAGGGATTGCAGTGTGTGCAACGCAAGGACTTCAGCTGCTAGGCTACCATGCCAGGACCAGTCAGGCCAGTTTTAACCCGACTCCAGCATTGCTTTCAGCTGCTGGTTCAAGACCTGGTTGCTCCCCTTCTCACTCAGCTCCCTGCTAATGCCCCAGGAAGGCAGCAGGAGATCATCCATGTGCTTGGACCCACCTGGGAGATCCGGGTGAGTCTCCTGGCTTTAGCCTGGCAGTCCCAGTCCCTAGGTCATTTACGGAGGGAGCCAGCTCTGTGTCCCCCTCTCTCCTCTGTCACTCTTCCTTTTAAGTAAATAAACATATAAGCATTTTTCTTTCTGTGTTTGAGAAAGAAATCTGTTAAGAGGTAATGATTTGGTCTAGGCCGCCAGATGAGCCCCAAAACCCACCTACTGCCTGGCTGGCTGGGAGCCTGTGGGTCAACAGAACTGACAACATAGAATAGATTGAATAAGAAAGAAAGGGAGTGACAGCAAGAAGTGGGGATGGGTGAAGGGCTGCTACAAAGAGGACACATGGCCAAGACAAAGGAGCTGGAACAGAGAGCCCGAGAGGAGGGTGAGGGCTGGAAAGGCAGCCGTGTGTCCAGCTGATGGCCCTAGCGGTCATGGCACAACCTGGCCGGGGCCATGGGATCAAAGTCAGGGAGCTGTGGGCTGAAATGTATGGGCCTAGGGAACACGTCCTTGGGTGCTGGTGCTCAGTCCTCGACTGGGAATCCTGGGCAGGAGAGCTCGGGCCAGATGTACAGGAGGAAGAACAACCAGCCAGTGTGATCGGGCCAGCAAGTACAATGCAGCCTCAGGAGGAAGCAGCACTTGTGAACATAGAATATTCCAGAAAGCAAGGAGGCTTTCCAAGATGCTTGCAGCAACAGGTCTCCCAAGGGTGCCCACCTGTGGTTCCTCCTCCCAATCACCCAGTCAGGGCCCCTCCTGGAGCAGGTCCCTACTAACCCCATCTCCCGGGTGCCCAAGGGCCTCATACCCCCGTTCAGCAGGGACAGGGCGCCCGGCTCCACAGCCAGGTCACAGGCCTCGCAGGAGCTGCTGCCGCCCCCACTCCTCTACTCTCTTCACCCTCCCTGCCCTGTGTCCTCCTCAGTGTTGGGGCACAGGGCACCCCTGACACCTCCTAACTTAGGGACCAGTCAGTGCTCCCTGCCCTCTGGGAAGCCTTCTCTTTTCCTGTCTCCTACACTTCCTGTCCTTGAAGGACCAGCTCTGTCTCCACGGTACTCCTTTCTGGCCAGAACACGCAGGACTGTGACTCTGAGGTCACAGCAACCACCTCCTCACTCAAGGTCTCTGAACAATTAATGGCAAGACGGCACAATGGCATAGCTCGCTAATCCTCTGTTAGTGTTGCCAGCATGCCCTATGGGTGCTGGTCTGAGTTCCAGCTGCTAAACTTCCCATCCAGCTCACTACTCGTGGTCTCGGAAAGCAGTTGAGGATGGCCCAAAGCCTTAGGACCTGCACCCATGTAGGAAACCCAGAGAATCTCCTGACTATTGGCTCCTGGCTTTGGGTTTTCTCGGCTTTGGCCTCTGCAACCATTTAGAAGTAAACCAGAGGATAGAACCCCGCCCCCTGCCCCGTTTCACTCTCTGTCTCTTTCTCTCAGTGTAATTCTGACTTTCAAGAGAAATAAAATAATCCTAAAGGAATTGAAATGTGGCAAAGAGTGTCGTGAACAAACCAGAATTAAATGAATGCTCTGGACAGGTCCTCCATGTGTTTATAGTTGGTAAAACCTGAGTCTTCAGTAGACAAAATATTCTGCTGATCAGCTTGAAAATCATATTTTTCAAAATGTTTCAATGAAAAACTCAGGAGTCGACATTGTGGTATAGCTCATTAAGACACTGTCTGTGTAAGGGGGGAATCGGGAGCGACTCTGAAAGCCTCTTAACAGGAGGCCATGTGTATGGAGCAGGGGGGAGACTCCTGAGTGGAGCGGGAGGTCAGGAAGAGGCTCGTATCCCAACCCTGAAGACTCCCAGATCCTCACCAAGGACCATCAACACGGACACCAAGGACTACATCCCAACTGCCAAGGAGACCACGGGGAATAGGATCTTCAGAGGCCGAGAACTCTGAGATCACTCACCCCCATCTGGAGCCTCCACAGGGGATGAAAGAAGTCCAAACTCTGCCGTGCAGAAACCAGTGTGATCGGAATGATGGCCAGGAGCCCTGAGCGGTCTGCAGAAACAGAAGAATAATAAACTTCCTTTGGGACTAGGGCGAGCTCTCTCTGGTCCTTGCCTGGCTCCGGCTCTGGGTCTCTACCCTCCCTCGCGGTGACCATTAGGATCACTCCAAAAACCCCTCAAAACAAACGAACAAACATACAAACAAACAAAAAATCTAGAATGGACAGACAACAACAAGGAAAGCTTAGAATCAGACAGGAAATGGCCAGCGTGGATTCAATCATGCCTCACTAGGTGGGACACAAAGATTAGTTACGCCTCACTGGGGTATTGGGGATTTCTCTGCACTCCCATCCTAAAAAAATGTTCTGTACCTAAACTGATGACACATGTCTTGCTAGAGTTATAAGCCAGTTCAGACCATCCAAAAAAACAACCAAGTTCAGCAAAATCATGCTTCAACACTATAAACAGCTAAATACAAAAATAAAAATAGACGAGACAGCTGAATAGTAATCTATAGCCATTTTGAGGTGTATGGAATCCGGTTGAATATAAACCAAAAATTGAAATGTCTATGAAGAAGTCACAGGATGTAGTTAAGAACCCGCGTTTTCCTATTAACATATTGTTAATCAATACCATGTCAATTAATGCCATAAGGTTGTAAATGGTTGTTGATGTTATGTCGGGGCTTTTAATTGATTGGGATGATACTTTGCTGGCTTTACCTTCAGACCAGAGATGGTCTCACCAAGAAATCGTTGAACCCACTAGGATAATAAGACAGGGGACTTTGTGCTTGGTAAATACTTCCAATGGAAGAACCTCAACTGAATTTGAACTGTGGTAATGCAACAAGGTGGAGAAATAAACCATGGGGAGAGGGTTCAGGGAGGGGTGGGGGGAATCCCAGTGCCCATAACACTGTGTCACATAATGCAAGGTAATTAATAATAATAATAATAATAATAATAAAGGAATTATATTAAAAAAAAGACACTGCCTGTGACACTAAACTCTCATAGGGCATGATTGCAGTCTGGTCTGCTCCACTTCTGATCCAGCTGCCTGCTGATGTACTTGGGAAAGCAGCAGAAGATGAACAAGTGCTTGAGAAGCTACGCCCAAGCAGGAGACCTGGAAGGAACACCTGACTCCTGGTTTTGGTCTAACCTCGTCGGCACCATTGTAAACTAGTGGGGGATGTATCAGCAGATGGAAGATAGCTCTCTCTTCCCACCCCCATGCTAGCATTCTACCTTTCAAAGAGAACAAATAAATCTTAAACAAAACAAAAAAAGATGTGAACACACTGAAAAGCCAGATGACCCCTAGGCGGGTGCAGAGACGCTCAAGTTGGCTGGGATGCAGGTGGGCAAGGTGAGTGCAGAGTGCTGGGCGGGCAGACGGCACACACTCGGGGCTGCCATGCACAGGGGCTCCAGGGGTCCCGCAGACACAGCATCTGACACATTCCAGGCTCTCAGAGGAACGTCAGCAAGACCACCTGCTTCAGCACCTGCCCTTAGGCACCCACGAGCACCCACCGTGCCATGAAGGCAGGCAAGGCTGCGGGCTGCAGCTCACCTTCCACTGCTCACAGGCAGAGCTATGACGTGATGTCCACAGGAGGAGTCCAAAGGCCTCGTGCCATTTCCTGCTGTGGAAAATATGCTGCCAGCATGAAGGAGGAGCCGCGGCACGTAGGCCAACACCCTCCAAGGCTGAATACCAGGAGTCAGATCAGCTGAAAAGGGAGCTGAGATGAGGGCAGATAGGAGAAAGAGAAAGACAGATAGACACGCATACACATACACAGAGAGCTGGTACAGGAAAAAATTACTGGTTCCCTCTGCCAACAAATTAAAAGGTCCTTTTCTACCAGCTGACCACCACGCGCTCTGTACTTCTGAGATCTGCCAGCTGGGGGCCACATATCCCACACCCCACTCCACCTGCTAGTGTCACGGATGTGAACTTCACATGCATTCTAGAAGCACCAGGTCCCCAGCAGTGCCATTCCGCCTCAATCCCACTGTGCGGGGGGCAGCCAGTCAGCCAACCCTGACCCGAGCTCACAGGGTGTGGGTAACACCCCTGGGACCACAATGCCTTTGGCACGCACAGCAGCATTCAGGAGGCTCGCCTTAGGGCCAACGAGTAGGACTTGGTCAGTCCCAGGCTCCTGGCTCTGTCTCTGCTCCTACAAACCCATGCCCAGCCTGGGACATCTTCTGAAGCCCCTGGGGCAGTGCCTCTCCACCTCCCTGCCCCTCCACTCTTCACAGACACCATGGAAACCTAGGGAGAGTCAGACAGGAACCTGGTGTCAATGCAGGCTGACACCTGCTGAGCTGTGTGACCTGGGACCTGCCACCTAACCTCTCTGAGTTCCCTCACCCCACCATGCATGGCAGTGATCCTTGTCTTGCAGAGACACGAGGGGTTGTAAAGGGAGAGGGTTCACAGTGTCCCCGGCTTACCAGGGAGTCCTTGCTGGTCCAGCCGTCCTCAGTGTTGTGCACCGTGCGTTTATGTAATGAGACCCAAACTTCCAGCCAGAAGTACCTTGCACACAAAATGGAAACCGAAACTCACCGTTACAGCAACACAGCAAACATGCAGTTGGCCAGTCCTACATCAGCTCCACCCCCAGACGCCACAGTCAGAGGAGGTACCCTGTGGGCTTCCTCCTTCTCCCTGACCCCTTGGCCTTGATTGTTGTGGCTGTTGACTTGTTGCCAACCTCAGCACAGAGGTCAGCTCCCAGGGCCACCGCCAGCACCACCTAGTGGAAGCTGGGAGGCTCAGCAGGCAAGGGCACAGCCTTATCTGCCCCTGGAGAAGCAGGCTCAGCTGGACCTGGACACAGTTCAGGCATAGCCAGGGGCTGCTGCTGGGCCCAGCACTCACAGTGAGGCTACCATCCCAACCCATGCACCCTCTGACTGTCTTTCCTCACATGGGAAAACCTGGCTTGAGCACCAGGCACCGACCTCAGGCAGCTCAGTACAGTCTACAGATGACAAGCCCACCCAGAGCCTTCATGCTCTAGGGATGCAGGAGAGACCGATGTGAGCTCCTGGAAAGGCAGAATCAGACAGAGCAGCAGACACACAGAGACAATCTCCCATCTGCTGATTCACTTCCCAAATGGCTACAACAGTGGGAGCTGGCCCAGGCTGGGGCCAGGAGCCTGGAACTCCATCCTGGTCTCCCCTGTGAGTGCAGGGCCCACGCACTTGAGCCACTTCTGCTGCTTCCCCAGGTGCATTATCGGGGAGCTGGATGGAAGTGGAGCAGCCAGGTCTTACACTGGGACCCATCCATGTAAGAATCTATTGTCACAAGTGTTGGCTTAACTCTTGTGCCACAGTGGATGGAAGATCTCTCTCCATTCCCCTCCCTCTCTAACTGTGCCTTATAAATAAATACAACACATCAAGCAGAGTGTACTGACCATGTCCTGAGGCCACAGCTGGTCTCCAGTGGGAAGGCTGCCTGCTCAGTCTGAGCATGTCTGGGAGTTAGCCAAGACACGGGCAGTGTTGTACAGCTGACATCTGAGCTCTGTCAGTGTCAAGGCCCCGCAGTGCTGCTCACGGCGGGGCAGACACAGCCGCCTCATGCACGAGAAGCAGGCTGTGATAGCGTCCCTGCCTGTGTGCTTACACATACTGGCAAGGTGAAGTGCTTGCCAGTGTTTAGAAGGTTTGCATGCTGTTCCCATGGAGGGAAACCAGGTTGGAGTGCCCAAGAACCCTCTGTGCTGCTTCGTGCAAGTGCGAATTTATAAAAGCTTAATGTAAATTAAAAAGGAAGAGAGACCAGTGTTCCCCTGTTCCCTATGTCACAATACTGGGGACACCGGCAAGCCTGCCTGGTGGGTGAAGATGGCAATTCTGGGGTGGCAGTTGTTGATTTGTGTCCTTGAGGTGCGACCGCATGGGCAAGTAGCTGCCCAGGTGTCCTTGCCACCACTGAAGAACTGCAGCCCTTGGTTCTTCTGCAAGAATGCCAGCTGAAAGCTGCTTCCAGTTCATTCAGAGGGTGGGTGTCAGGATGGGCGGGCCACACAGAGTGCTCTCACCATAGGTCTCACTGCCTGACAGGGGAGGTGTCTGTGCCCCCAGGGTCTGCATGGTTCTCTGCTCAGCTTAAAAGGAATAAATCTGGAGGCTGTGGGGACAAAGACATTTTGAGAAGAGTTTTATGAATAGAGTGCTAGGAGAGAGGCCAATGTGGCACATCCCCTTGTCCCATGAGACTGTCACAAGAAAGCTGCTGTCCCTCACCAGGGGAGGACAATGTTGTGGCTGTGAGTGTCGTCCCCCACCCCAATGCCCCGTCCTGGGCAGTGTCGTACCACCCAATGCCCTTATCTGTAACCACGAGGCAGTGACAGAGGCCATGGTTAACCACACCTTCCAAATTGATGACTTCTAGCTTCTCAAGCCGCTTGGGGTGGAGACCCACGTTGCTTTGTCTTTCAGGTAAATTAGCTTGGATGATTTTGAGAAATTCACCTGGCTGCTGCACTGCATGGGATGAGGAATATAAATCAAACCTCGGAGGCCTCCTGAGCTCCCACTACAGGGAGCTGATGTAAGCAGGAGGTCCCACAGCCTTCCTGGTCAAGGTCCTCAGGGAAATCATGCTCCATGAGAATGCATTTGCCACAGGGTGGGAGTGAGATGAAGTAGAGAAACCACCCGGGGAAGACACTGGCAGTGGTGGTCACAGATACACAGAACATTGAGAGAGGAGCCTCCTCCAGACAGCAAGAGAACCCTGGCCATCAGCCTCCACTCCAGTGTGTCACTCCCAGGCCCACGAGGAGGAGCTTGCAGCAGTTGGGCACACTTTTGCTGATGTCCTGGAGATGGCTGTAGCCATGACAGGCTGAAGAACAAGGCTTCTGTTAGACTGAAAAGGCACATATATACATGTGTGATGGTCAATGCTCAGCCAAACACACAAGCCCAGGTCAATCTAAGACATCCCCTTGCCAGATTTGTGTCATTTGTGTTCCCAACACTCTTCCTCCTCCTTCTACATGCCCTGGCTCCATCGCCAGGCCCAAGGATGCAGCCATCTGCCCCGAGCCATCCAGTCTCCTGGGCATGTATGTGTCACTCCATGGGATGCCAGGAGCCAAGGTGTTTGAACCCGGGCCAGCCAAGGTAGGGCAGACCTGCTCTGCCTCCTGTCCTGCCTTCCATGAATGGATATGGCTTTTCCATCCAGTCACTTTACTGTCCTGGTTCTCTCCAGCAGCTTCTCTCTCCTGGTTCATGTCAGCAACATTCCCCGTTGGCTGCTGCTTACAAGGAAAAATCTCAATGGACACAACCATTTCCGTGGGATTGGCTCATGCTAGGAGTTTCAATTGTAAGTATTCAGGGGGAAAATGGTGCTGGATTTTTTTTTGTATTTCAAGGTTTATTTATTTACTTGCAAAGCAGAATGAGAGAGAGAAAGAGAGAGAGAGAGAGAGATCATCCTTCTGCAGGTTCACTCCCCAGATGGCAGCAACACTCAGGGCTGGGTAGGCCAAAGCTAGGATTTTCTTGCTGTGTCTCTCGCATGGGTGCAGTGACCCAAGCACTTGGACCAACCTCCCCTGCTTTTCCAGGTGTATTAGCAGGAAGCTGGATTGGAAGTGGAGCAGCCAGGATTCAAACTAGAGCCTGTGTGAAATGTGAGTGATGCAGGCAGCAGCTTCCAGGCCCTGAGTGCACTTAAGAGGAACGTGCGGGAATTTTCTGGGAGTAGGAGTAGGTGCAGGGTGACAGGCTTCCTGTCCCTTCTTCCTGATTGGCACGTGGCAGGAGACTTTCCTGGAAGGCCTTGGCAGGCTCGGGGTCCACTGTGTGTCTGTTCAAGACTTGTTCTTGGTGCTGATTTTTCTCCTTCACCACTGTCTCTTTCTCTTTTTCTTTTTCTTTTTTAAAGATTTATTTATTTTTATTACAAAGTCAGATATAGAGAGAGCAGAGACAGAGAGGAAGATCTTCTGTCCAATGATTCACTCCCCAAGTTACTGCAACGGCCGGTACTGCGGCGTTCCAACGTCAGGAGCCAGGAACTTCCTCCAGGTTTCCCATATGGATGCATGGTCCCAATGCTCTGGGCTGACTTTCACCACTTTCCCAGGCCACAAGCAGGAAGGTGGATGGGAAATGGAGCTGCCAGGATTAGAACCGGCGTCCATATGGGATCCTGACGCATTCAAGGCAAGGACTTTAGCCACTAGGCCACCATCCAGGCCCATTGCCTCTCTATCTTCAGTCCTGATCCTTGATTTTATTTTTCAGTCTATTTGTACCTCAGAGAATGTGTCTGCTTGCTGGGCTCCTGTCAGCCTGGCTCCGCTGACTTGAGCACTGGTCCATGCTCACTCAACCATGTCCTCCTGCAGGCTCCTGTAGATCTCCATGAGCTGCGCCAACTTCTCTTCCAGCTCCTGAGCCTGCTGCCGCAGATCTTGAGCCAACTCAGAAGAGGCACCCTGATGCAAGTGCACCGACTCCTGGACAAGGTTGGCCACATCCATCAGAAGGAAGAGTCCAGAGCTGGCTGCACCTGCAATGCGGGCTCCCGTGGTCATGGCCAGAGCAGTGCCCCCAAAGGCACTCTGCACCTGCCTAGTGTTGCGAGCTGAGATCTTCCCTGTGGTCATGAGGCGGTTGGCATTGACCAAAAGGCGGGGGTTTGCCTGTGCAACCTTGATGGCACGGACGTTCTTCCCAACGTCTCCCAGGACTTCAATGCACCTATGGGTTACATTCATAACTCTGGGGACACTCTGACCCACAGCTTGTTTAATCAGCTCCACTTGGTTGACACTGCTCGATGTGATGCGGCCCACTTCAGCCTCTGCTGATGCCCTGGTTACGTGCTCCACAATGGCAGTGGAGGCACCAGTCACGCCTGCTGCTGCACCCAGTCCCAACCCTGTGGCTGTGAGTGCCAGGCTGACTCCTGCGGTCACAGGGGCCAGAGCCAGGCCAATGATGCTCAGGATTCCAGAGACGGTCCCAGTGGAGGCAGCCACCACATTGGTGATGGTGCAGTCCCAGTGCACCTTGCCTACCTTGTCTGCCAGGGCGTGCAGCTTTGCTATTTTCTCCTCCAGCTGTGCTTTCACCTGTGGGAATTCCTTCAAAAACCTCTCCCTCGCCTGCTGCTCTCCTCGATGCTCCTCGTCCTCTGGCTCCATGTCCTCTGGCTCCTTGTCCTTTGGCTCCGTGTCCTCTGGCTCCATGTCCTTTGGCTCCATGTCCTCTGGCTCCGTGATCTCTGGCTCTGTGTCCTCTGGCTCCATGTCCTCTGGCTCCTTGTCCTCTGGCTCCGTGTCCTCTGGCTCCATGTCCTCTGGCTCCTCGTCCTCTGGCTCCGTGTCCTCTGGCTCCATGTCCTCTGGCTCCGTGTCCTCTGGCTCCTTGTCCGTGTCTGTGCAAATACTGAGCAGGGCTTCAAGTAGCGCGTGCGCCTCCTCACTGTAACAACAAAGGTCACATGATGAGGACAGGCAGCCTGTGATCTGTGAAACGGGCTGGGGAGGCTGGATCCTGGCTAAGTCAGCACCTGCACTGTTAGTCAGGAAGAGAAGGAGCTTACACAGGTAAAGAATCTCCATTTCCAGATTCTCCATGTTTTGGCCCATCAGATGTTTGTAGAACACATCATTAAGAAACCAAAGAAGTAAGTGTGACAAGGTTTTTTTTTTAAAAAAAGATGATTTACTTAATGAAAGGCTTGAGAGAGAGAGATAAAGAGAGATTCTTCCATCTGCTGGTCTGTGGCCATGTCTGGGACAGGTCAAAGCCAGGAACCCAGAGCCAGGATCTTCTGCTGGGCCTCCCACATGGGTTCAGGGACCCAAGCACTTGGGCCATCCTCTGCTGCCACCCAGGCACATTAGCAGAGAGCTGGATTGGGTGTAGAGCAGCCAGGACCTGAACTGGTACCAATATGGGACCAACCTCACAGACTGTGGCTTAATTCACAATGCCACAATGTTGGCCCAATGTAAAAGGCTTTTAAGAAGCACTTTAAGGACTGTTGTGTTGGCCCAATGGCTGCTGACTGCCATGCCACTATCGCATATAAGATCGGTATATAAGCTGCTCCACTTCTGGTTCTGCCCCCTGCTAGCGTGCCTGGCAGAGTAGTGAATTTTGATCCGAGGGCTTGTGTCCCTGCACCCATGTGGGGGACCTGGCTGGTGTTCCAGGCTCCTGCTTTCAGATGTTGTAGCCATGTGGAGTGAACCAGCAGACGACTCTCACTCACATGATCTCTTTCTGTCTCTAATGCTGCTTTTCAAATAAACAAATCAATAAGCGTCTGTTTTCAAAGCTGTTTGCAGTGTCCAAGCCTATCAAAGATGTTTTCTCACTTAAGGGCCAGCCTCTGTGTCACTACTGAAGTATCTGTAGTTTGGGTACAGGATGCATAGAAAGAAGTGTGGTTGGAGAGGGAAGTGTCACTGTGGGTCTGAGTGTGCAGTGGAGAAGCAGCCCACTGACCACCAGCCCTGAGCACTCAGGCCGTGGGTGCACTCTGTCTGCAGGTACTGTCTGCTCCCTGGGGCTTAAGTGCCCACCATGAGAGAGCCAGCCATGTGGGGAGATGTGAGCGGCATAGCCTGGGTCCCCAGCAGTTACTTGGACAATTCTGCCTCACGCACAAATATCACCCAGGCCTCCTCTTCCCCCAGCAGGTACTGCAGCTCCTACCTGCTCAGTCCGTTCTTGCAATAGTCCAGGATGTTTGCAAAGCGGCTTTCAGCATCTGCTCAGAAAGAAAGCAGAGAAGAAGGAGCTGAGGAAAGCATGGGAGAACATATGTGACCCAAACAGGAGACATATGTGCACAATAATTATCTAGATTGGGTGCCCTATGGACACTTCAATGTGGTTACCCAGATTGGAGACCAAAATGAAGCCCCTACTGTAATTGGGCACAGTGTTCCAAGGAGCGGACAGAGGGTTGGCCCTGATACCTGTCTCCCTGTCTCTGTATCTCCCCGCACAGAGGACAGCCAAGGAGAAAGCACCCTCTGCCAACCAGGAACAGAGCCGTCCCCACGCAGCAGCCCAGCTCTCACCTTGAACTTGGACTTCTGGCTTCCAGGACTGAGACACAGCAGGCAAGGCTGGCCGCAGAGAGAAAGTAGAGTGTTAGTGAGGAGAGCAGTGCAATTCGCTCCCCAGCTCAGAGCATCCAGCAGGCTTGGGCCTGGGCCCTGCAAAGGGGAAGCTCTCACCACGGCCTCATGCCCTTCCACCTGAGCCTTCCCACCTGAGGCTCAGCCATGAGCGGGTTGTGCAGTTAGTGTATCGGGATGAGAGCGATATATTTCCAAAGCATTTCAACTTTGCCTTTCTCCCTCTGTTTCACAAAGAGAAACATTTCTAAAATAGCCACAATTTAAAATATGTCTGTGAGTTCTGTACTCCATGCTATTGTGTTGCTATAGGCTTTTGTAATTAAAAATATATATATTTCAGAGGCCAGTAGTGCTGCATTGTGGGATGGCTACCACCAGCAGCATCCACATCCATATGGGCACCAGTTCAGGGCTTGGCTGCTCCTCTTCCAATCCAGATCCTTGCTCATTTCAGGGAAGGCAGCAGAAAATGGCTCAGGTGCTTGGGCCTTGTACCCATGAAGACGTAGAAGGACCACAGGCCCCTGTTCTCCCCTCTCTTCCCCTAATGTGGACTGGGGTGACTAAGGTGCTCCTGAAGACCCCAGGAGACTGCCTTTGGCTGAGCTCAGCCCTGGGGGTCGCCCCACATCCCAGGCATGAACAGGAGGAGGAAGCATGCCTACCTGGGACCATGGTGTCATCGCCTCCCTGTTTGCCTCCCATGTGGTCACCAGTTGCACCGTGGTCTTCCTTCTTGCTCTCCATCTGCACTGTCGGGCAGGAAAGCTTGGCTTCACCACTGGAGAGGAGAAAGCAGCTGTGGGTGGCAGAGAACTGTGGAATGGGGGGCCTGATCTCGGTGTGGGTCTTAGAGCGAGGAACTTCTACCACATGAGACTCCTGGAAGAAGCTCCAGGCTTAACCCGGCCCAGCCCTGGCCATTGTCACCACAGGGATGTCAACCAGCAGGTTTCCCTCGCACATGTATTTCCTGTCTCTTTCTCTAATGTGGCTTTTTAAATAAGCAAATACATAATTAAAAAATTTATTTGTGGTTGTCCATACTTGATAAAGATGCTTTCTCACTCAAGGGCTAGGCCCTGGCCACACTACGGAAGTATTTGTAAAGGCAGCACTCAGGGTGGCTAGAGAGAAGTTGCGTGGGAGCGGGAAATATGCATTTATGGTGCTGGGCGCACTGGGCGCACGGGGCAGAGGCAGCCCCACTGGTGAGCGCCCGGCACAGGCCCATGCCCGGCCCAGGCCCTGGATGCTGGTCATTTCTACAGGGACTATCAACTTGCTGGGGTTTGTGTGCCCACCGTGGCCGGGCCAGCCTTTACCTGAATGATCCAGCCTCGGACAGAAATGCCTCCCGTAAAAAGAAATAAAACAAACAACCAAAGAAACAGAACAAAAGAGAACAAAAAAGAAGTGCCTCCTGGGCCTCGCCATCTGTCCGCAGGCGCTGCAGGTCCATCTTGCTCACTACGTCCTGGAAGTACGCGATGGTGCGGATTATCAGGCTCTTGTCATCTGCTCAGAAAGTGGAGAAAAAAAGCTCTACTTGGGGCCAGCAGGTTGGCTCAATTGGCTAATTCTCCTCCTATAAGCGCTGTATCCCATGTGGTGCCAGCTAGTGTCTGGCAGCCCTGCTCTCCATCCAGCTCCCAGCTAGCAGCCTGGGAAAGCAGTGGAGGATGACCCCAAGCCTTGGGACCCTGTACCCGTGTGGGATAGCTGAAGGAAGTTCCTGGCTCCTGGCTCCTGGCTTCATATTGACTCAGCTCCAACAGACTGGCTCAGCTCTGACCATTGTGGACATTTGGGGAATGACACGGTGGATGGAAGATCATTCTCTCAACTTCTACTTCTCTCTGTTTCTACTTTTATGTAAAAATACATAAATCTTTTTTTTTTTTTTTTTTTTTTTTTAGAAAGCTCCACTTGGCTGAGCTATCCTGGTGGTGCCAACATGGGTTGCAAGCCTGAGCAGGAGGAGGAAGTGTGTACCTGGGACCATGAGGCCATTGCCTCCCTGTATGGTTTTATCACTGCTCGCCATCTCTCCGTCGGGTGGGAGGTCTCACTTCAGCCCTGGGGAGGAGAAAACAGCTGTGGGTGGTGGAGTTACGGGGCAGAGGCCTGTTCTCGGCTTGGAACTCATGGGATGGGGGCCTGTTACCATGTAGTCTCTCTGGAAGAAGCTCCAGGCTTCAGCCTGGCCCAGCCCTAGCCATTGTGGCCATTGTGGGAGTGAATAAGATCCTGTCTGTCTTCCCCTCTCTCTCTGTAACTTTGCTTTGTAAATAAATAAACACAAATCTTTAAAATTCGTGCAAATAACAGTAAAGCTGAGGCCAGCACCATAAAGTGAGGTGACAAGGATGCTTCAGTGGGGACTCTAGGGCAGGTTCTGATCAAACCCGTGTCTCCCTGAGCTGGGCTGTCAGGGTAGCTCACGTGTGCGTGCTGGTGGAAGCACCTCCACCTGTGCCCAGGGCACTCTCATTCCATCTGCTGGGGCTGCAGCCACCCGAAGTCTGTCCTCTGCTTCCTCCTGCCGGCTCCTTCGACCCATCAGGGCCCAGAGTCCTGCCCAGCCCTTGCCTGGTCCCTTCCACGGTTCTTTGCCCTCTGGGGACACACAGGCTGCCCCTCCCTGTTGGACTTCCATTTGATTCTTACCCTTTACAGAAAGGCCAAGAATGCTCTCCTTGCTAAAGTTGCTCATTTCTTTAGATTTTTCTAGAAGTGGGATGACTACAAGATTATACAGCACCAACATGTGAATAATCTGAAACCCAGAGCCACACACTAATGTGACACGAGGGGACAAGCTGGCCGGCTCAGAAGGAGTTGATTCTGTCAGGCTTACTAGTTCGTGGCTGTCCTGAGTTTTGAAACACAGAGTTAGAGCAAGAGGGTTTTCAGGTCTGTTACTGGGGCTCGGGCTTCGAGCTGAGAGAGGAAGCTAATGTTAGAGGTGTTTGGGCATTGGCTTTAGAAGGTCAAAGGCACCTGGCCACGGTACTGAACATTGCCTGAAAGTATGGCCATGGC